TGGTTGCAAAAATCAGTTTGATTTCAAAATTCTGTAATAAGTACTATTGACTTATGTGTAGAAAGTAGGGCGGAATTATACTGGTATTTCATTACAAAGGTACCAAAGGAAGGTAGTACTCATTCTAGTTGTATATCTTCAAGATACTTTCTATTCAAGCTAGAAGAATATTTGTTGAGATCCAGAAAGAGTCTCATTGAATGTGAAGCCAACATTATCACTTATGAGCAGATGCTCTTTGACATCTCTTCATAAATACACTTAATTTGAATCACAGAGTAAATTGCTTGGTTTATAATCAACTTATTTGTTAATCGTCAATTTGTGATTTTTGTCCCTTGATATAAAAACCAAGGGAGTGATATAGGTAGTAATGCTGTGCGCTCTGTTTATACAGTAAATATCAGGTACTGAAAGATATCATGGTGTCTAAGCTGTCTTCTTGAAAGTAGATTATTAGCCCTTTGAGTTCAGAGAAGAAAATATGGCTCCAACAATATGGCTCTTCTTCTCTTAAGTCCTTTCTAGCTGCCTCAACGATTGTACACAAGCTCTCATTTCCTAATCACATAACCTCTCCCTTGGCCATATGCCCAATTCATCATTTCTTCTTCAGGTTCCACTAGAGAGAGAGAGAGAGCCTGTATTGCGTGTGACGGCCTTCAATAGTCTTCTCAGTCCGTGTCCAGGCCAAATTTGTTTTCGTGCAAATATTTGTGGAGCAGTAGGTTCTTTATTAATTTGTCAGTAGTTATTGGCTGGCTATTTTTCATCACCTCTGTTTGCTCTATGTTCACTTCAGATCTTTTCTTCGTCACCTACCTATTCTGAGAACTTGTTGGTTTTTTCGCCTGTAAGTCTTCGAGTTAGTAACATAAGACATAAATCGTCTGCGAAGTTGTGACTTTCTAGAGTCTTCCTCCTTATCTATCCAACTTGGTTTTATCTTCTCGCACCCCGCAACCTGCCTTATAATCCAGTCCTTCACACTCAGTAATATCATAAGTGAAAGTAGGTAACTTTGTCTTACTCATGTATCCATACTTTGAATGGCTTTGCTAAGTTTTTCGTTGTGGATTACGTGACATGTATCATTATCATATAGTTATTGAATGAGGCTGATAAAGGTTTAGGGTGCTGCACTCTGTTATGATTAAGAAGCTTTCAAATTGCTTCACGGTTAACGCTATCGAAGGCCTTTTCTGAGTCGACGGAATTGAGGTAGAGATTTGACTATCACTCTCTGTTCTGTTCTATGATAATACTTAAAGTTGTTATTTGATCCACACATGATTTCCATTCGGAGCTTTGCATCCAATGCATCTTTTATACTCTGCATGATGACATGACTTAATATTTAACTTGGCGTGAACAATGATCGAGATTCCGCGCCAGTTCTTGCAGACGCCTAAGTCGCCCTAGTTTAGCACTCTTCCTCAGAATGGATCCAGGTGGCTGACTTGTCTACAAGCTCGCCCTGTAACCAGAAAGATCTGAGTTCAAACCCCAGTAGGTACATTCTGCTAGAGAGTACCGAACTAGGGTGGGATAGTGGTTGTCTAACTGATGCCAACCAATCCAATCACTGAAAACTAAATTTTGGAGCTAAGTCTGCCTCCTTTATTATTTTAATAAGGTAGTCTTTCCTCCAAACAGTAGGTAAGGTTTCTTCCTCCCAAGAATTTTGCATTAATGGCATCAGTATATGCACTTATCTCTCTAGATTCTTTTTTAATGCTTCAAAAGGGCCTTCCCAGTAGCTTGAGTGAATTTACGACTGCTGCCTTCATTGGTGATTTAATGTCCACTGACAGTTCTATAGCAATAGGCAGTATTTGTTGCCAGTGTGCAAGTGATAGTAAGTTCAAGAGTCCTGAACCATGAACCACAATAAATACACATTTTTAACTGTTGTTAATATCGGTTGATGCAAGAAGAATACCACAGATCCCATGTGAAAGTAATTAGTAATACATACTTTATCCTAAATGACAGTAAGCAACTAATTTAGAAGCCTTTCGATTTCACCGAAATTTAAAAAAACATCACTATCATTCCACAGGAAAATAATTTTCGTCTTTCAGATATATATTCATTGTTGTGCATTATCAAAACGCATCAGCCGTTCCATTTATATTTCGAGTATGAATCCAGAATTTTTCGACAAAATAGTATGTTATTAGTGGAATATATTCAGTGACTTAGCGGTCAAATATATTCTCACTAAAATTTAACTCAATTTTTGACTTGGGTAAAACTTCTTTATTATTAGTTGAATAGCCCGTTTTAGAAGTCCTTCAAGCCGGTGGTTTTGTTCATTGTGATATGACTATTTTAGGGTAGGATTTATGTCAAAAACCTATAGAAAAAAAACGTGACACTTATAGATCCATTATCTGGGTTTTTCATCGTCCATAAGATTTGATCATTTATGTTATTTATTTTGTCATTTTTAAAAAATATTTCTCACGATCTTGATCAGTACTGAAGTCGGGCTCTATCCTTATGTACCTACAGTAAATACTGATTACCTTAATGTGGGATTCTCTCCACAACCAAATATGTTAAATCTATCGGTAATGTTTTATCTATCTATGTACATAAAGTTGTGCCGAAAAATTTAAATGTCACCATCAACTTGTAGGCTAGTGGTTACATAACTGAGGTATGAATGTGAACAAACTTCAAAAGTTTCACAATTATTTAGTCAGTACTTGTGAACCTTTGTTAAACCACATAACTTCATCGGTATGTTGACTACAAGCCAAAATGACATTTCAATTTTTATCTTGATACGCATACATTCCTTATTAGTCAATTATTTAATGTCATTAAAAATTGATTGAATTTAAATATTTAGTATTCTATGAGATAACAAATTACTGAAAAGATATTGATAGTGACAAAACTAAGCAGTTAGTGTAGAAAAGTTTAAAGAAGACATTTTATATTGATCATGGGTACATTTCGTTTAACCGGACCATTGAAAGACTCTCGCGAAGTAGCTCCATATTCTTTTTATTCCTTTAAGTTCCCAATGGAACATAGAGCTTCAAGTTAGAGGCGTAAAGTTTTGATAGCAGTGGTGATTATTTTTGTGGGATGGGGTTGCCAGGCTCAAGTTCAACTTTTTCATTTTACCAGTCTTATTACTGGTTTAATGAGGTAAAGTGGTGCGTCAGGCGAGGATCGAACTCTGCACCACCTGCATGGTGGGTGAGCATTCTACAGCTGTCCCATCGACGCACAGCTCCATTTTACACAAGTTTTTATTTGAAATAACACACGGTGATGCTTTTGTAGCTGTTGGTAACAGCTGTTGGTCACAGAATTCATCACTGAAAACTTTATGCTGACGCTCACTGTTTAGATCAAATTGTTTAGCTGAAGGCTTACACTCAGTCATCCACGCCATTTGGCACGCCGTCATATTGCGTTCGTTTGTTCATTCATGTATGATTCCCAGCTAGCTAAGCAGTCACTCTCGCACTGATATTCGGTCCCGGAATATACTTCGTAATTTGGACGATCAATTTTGCTTTGCTTTTGGTTTAAGCGAAAAGAATTCTAGAGGAATTGGGGGTAATAGATCTTGCGTTAGTAAAAATCGTATTATCCGTCAACAGCAACACTCTCAGCCTCTAAACTTTCTTTATATTTGGGCCATTAGCATAATTAGTGAGTTAGAAGATTCATATGATGGTTTTTTTATTCCTTCACGTTTCTAGTGGAACACACACGGCTCCAGGATAGAGCTATGAAGCCGCGATGACAGTGGTGTTTATTTTTATGGGATGGGGTTGTTAACTTCATGCCTAACTATCCATTTTTACCAGTTTAATTACTAGCTTAACGAGGTTTAGGGGTGCGTCAGCCGAAGATCGAATCCCGGACTGCTTGTGGAGTGGTTGGCGAACACTTCACCGTTGTGCCAACAATGCAAAAGAACAAAAAGCTCGCCTTGCTTTCTCGATCCTCGCCTTGATATCCTTGTCAGTTCCGCCTGTGGTTGAAACGATGCTTTCCAGGTAGGTAAGTAGGTAGGTAGGTAGGTAGGTGCTGCTTTCAGATTTCTCCTATTTATGTTATTGTTTTAGATATCGGACATATTTATCTGCCTAAACATGAATAATACTAGTTTTTGACTTGTTTAGGAAGTATTTCACGTTTGTTTAATATATTTTCAATAACACATCATACATGAACTTGGATTATTTTAGGCAACGTCCTCCCTTCAAAGTTCAATATTCCTTGACAGAAAGCAAAGCTCTAATTGGTACTATTAAAATGGAACAAAATGACTGAGCTCGTGGTAAACCAAACATCAAATTGTATCAATATGGACATCAGAATGCATAGAATTTTTTTTCTGTTTGTGAAGTCATTTTTGTTTTCCTCTGCGTTCCTAGATAAACAAAGGGTTTCATACTTTGAATTTTTACTAGAGATGGTGTTTCCACGGCTGCAAGTCACTAGCTTCATGCCCAACCTTTCTTCTTTCATGGGCTCATTTTCAACTAGTAAACTAGGTGAGGTCGGAGATTAAATCGGCTGGACAGTGAATCTCGACCCACGTACGTCGCTGGCAGACATTGACAAAAACACTGACACACGTTTGCAAAGAGTACGCATAGAGAAAATCTTTGAACAATAAGATGTGTTCTACTTTATACTCTCTTGCTAAATTTTGAAAAATGTAGGTTGTTTGCATAGAACGAGTGTTTTTCAGTAGCCTTACACCGAAATGCACAGAAATTCAACATAGTGAATTGTGAATATTCTTTGTCTAATGCAAGAGAAGAGCTAGAAAATTTCAAGTTTAGGGGATATCGTATGATTCTCATTACTATTTTCAATTACAAAATAGTAGCTAAAAGTTCTCACACACAAAAAATGAATAAATTTCAACGCTATGCCATCAATATTTCTCATGCAACAAAATTGATATGTGAAAGCTTTTATTATTAAGATAGAAAAATGGTGAATTTTTGAAATCTTACATAATACCATTAACTGATGTGTTCGACTAATTGATTCTGTCCATTCAATATGTTTGACCACACATGTGTACAGCATACCATCATTATTTCTGGAAATATTATTCAATTTCAATCTGCTAACCACACGTTTCCCACCATGAATTCCCGGGAACTGTAAAAAAAAAGATGAAATTTATTTTAAGAAAAAGAAAAGTAGATTAAAAGTAGTTTTATCACTGAATATCTATTACCAAACTTTGCTAAATACTTCAGCAAAAAACACTAAATGAAATACAACAGATTTTGATGTTTGCGTATGAGTGTGCGAAAAACAGTGAATCAGTGACACAGCGACAGAATGCTCGCTAACCAGGTAGGTGGTTCGGCAATCGGTCCGAGGAGGCCGATGCACTTCTTCACTTGGCTAAGTCAGTAATGAAAAGACTGATAAAGAGGGCAGGCTGGGTGTGAGGCTAACAACTCCATCCCGGAAAAATAAAGAACACTACTGCCGCGACTTCAAAGCCCAGAGCTTGAAGTCCAATGTTCCACTGGAAACGGGAAGGAATAAAATAATAAGGCGAAAAACCAAAACCCTCATTTATCTCAATATTGAATGTGAATTTTATGAAATTACATTAAAGCATTTGGAAACGGCTTTCATTACGAAAGTTCCTTATTATTGAAAAGACAGTTGCAGCGAAGAAAATTTTCTTTTCGACGAAGTCATCATCTAGGCTGTACATTCGTGTATTTATATCAAATGGATGGGAGAGTTCCAGAATAATTTCTGCTTAAGAGTCAAATTGATAAAAATTACAATTAGGAATTAAAATGCCATAATAAACAGTTAGGTGGATAAAACTCAAACAAAGTGACATCATAATTACTGGGAAGGTTGACATTGTGCAGTCGGGGGTAAGAAATGTAGAAATAACAAAAGAGACAGGATGTTTGGATAAAAAAAACTAATGTGATGAATAATTGTTTATGCAATCAGGGATTAAATATATGTAGAAATAGTAAAATGACAAAATAAACACAAAGTTCGGATATGAAAATATGGCAGTGTAAACAGGGATTAAGAAAAACTTAAAAATAACATGATAAAAAAGAAAGTTTAGATAAGAAAGGCGATGGGATGGTTATTACTACAAAAATTACCTGTTTATGATGGCCATGACAAGGACAAGGCTTAGACAAAGCGTGCGTTTCAGCTTTTGAAAGGCTAGCGCCTCAGCTATGCCCAGATGTCTTGATTTAACTCCCTTTGATAGGTTTGACTGAAACTTGTATATTACTGTGAAGGATTTTTCGAAAGGCGCTGAATGTCCTGAACTGTATACATATTTCTACATACATATGTCTACATTTCTAACTCCAAATTGCACAATATGTCAATCTTCTCAGTAATTATGATGTCACTTTGTTTGAGTTTTATCCACCTAACTGTTTATTATGGCATTTTAATTCCTAATTGTAATTTTTATCAATTTGACTCTTAAGCAGAAATTATTCTGGAACTCTCCCATCCATTTGATATAAATACACGAATGTACAGCCTAGATGATGACTTCGTCGAAAAGAAAATTTTCTTCGCTGCAACTGTCTTTTTAATAATTCTCTATTATTATTATTATTATTGATACTATTACTGTCATTTTTATTCCCATCATCCACATTTTATTACAACTTTATTACTGTGTATTAATAACATTTCTTTTTCATACAGACTTTATACAAAAACACTTTATAGCCTTTCCACTAGTCCCTGTCCATTCTGCACGAGCTTAGTGATTAGTCATTATCTCACACTTATTGAGTCATGCCGACTACTGTCTCCTTTCTAACTTACAATTAGTCATCCCTTCTTACACCTTACATTATGTAATACAATTTTTCAACAACAAAGCTTACCAGTATCTGATTGGTCTAAAGATTTCTGTGTTAACTATAATTACGATTGTACAGCAGCTCATGAAAATGAATCGTTGAAAAGAAAATTTTTGCTTCGCTGTTTGTGCCTTTTTCGTATGACACAATATGGGAATATTTCTTTTATTGAAGGGCTTTCTTTTTATCGCTTAAATATTCTTAATCACTTTCATACAACTAGCTATTAAACATGGACAACATTTTAATCGTCTCTTTTTGCTTTCAGTATGCCAAAGCTTTTGTAGAAAATCTGATACTGTTAACTGGTAAACTAACACGACCCTGCAGTATTTACACCATGAAAAAAAACATGTTTTCGAGCGGTTTGGTAGTTTGTGGACTAACTTAGGAAATACCTTTACGAATCAGTCACTGATTCACCTACACGAGTGCATTGTTTGACCTAATCTGTAAAGGATACTTATGGATTTGTTAAAAGGATAGGAGATTTAAATGTTGACAATAAATTCATGATATCATTTGACGTAACTTCCTTATTCATCAATGTACCACTCATGGAAACAGTGGACACTGTATGCGAAGAACTCAAAAGACGAAACATAGATGTTGGCATTCCTATATCTTTTATGAAAGAGCTTCGCTTGAAATGTAAAATGAATGTCCACTTTTTATTTAATAAGGAACTATATAGACAAATCGAAGGTGTGGCAATGGGGTCACCACCAGGACCCATTCTAGCCGACATTTTCCTTGCGAAACTAGAAAATGGGCCGTTGAAGGATGTTATTAATGAACTCGAATTTTATTTCCAGTACATGGATGATACTTTTTTGATTACGAAAAATGAGAAGGAAGCAAAGAACATCCTGGATAAATTTATTGAGGTACATCCTGCAATAAATTTTACTATTGAGAAAGAAAAGGACTCCAGTATTTCATTTTTAGACGTCTTTATGACCAGAAAAGAGGATGGCACAATAAGAAGTGTTTATAGAAAACCTACATCAACGGATCAGTACACACATTCTCTCAGCTTTTTGCCCTTCAAATACAAACGCAATCTGATAAAGTGCTTGGTTCACAGAGCAAGAGCGATTTGCTGGGACGAATATCTTGATGAGGAACTTAACAATATTAAACGGTTGCTAAGTGAAAATCGTTATCCAGAAAAGTTAATTGACAAGCAAATGAATTTGGAACCAAAGCAACCGAAGTTACCAACGGTTCCAAAAAGGCCTTATTCTTATAAATGCAGTTCCTTGGGGACAAGGCCAGCGAGATACCAACACAGCACCCTTGAAATGAGGTGAAAAGAGCATTCCCTGCTGCTGAATTAAGGTGTGTCTTCAAAACCACACACCCCTCTTTTGCGTTGGGGAGTAAAAGACAAACTGCCTAATTTTCCCTCTTCCATGTGTATCTACCACTGTAACTGTTCCTGTGGAGTCAGTTACATAGGCCATACAATCAGGCATCTTTCTCGTTCAGTATCGGAACATCACCCTACCTAGTTAAGCAAAAGACAAACAAAATCTATTCGGAGCGCTATTCTGTCTCATCTTGTGGTTACAGAACACGAGATTGACGTTAACCATGCTTTCAGGGTCATTTACCGCATACCTACGAATCTCAATTTTGCCTTAACAGTTCGACTACTAAATATTGCTGAGGCTGTGGGGATCCATATTAATTTGTGCATCCAAAGGAAGTTAGTTCAGACATTATCAATACCTTGGCCAACTAGATTGGAGTGATCCTCAATTTTTTGGAATTTTCCTAATTTTAATTGATATTCTATTTACTATTATATCTTTATTATTATAATAATTCAAGCATCTTTAGTGAATTGTAATTCTGTCGATCATAGTTTACAAATCGATATTATTTAAAAAACACCAATATTGTTATTGACTACTAATCTAGAATATTTTATATATATATATATATATATATATATATATAATTGTAGAACCACAAAAGGAATTTATCGAAAAGGATATTTTTTGCTCGATTATTTTGTGTTTTATAGATGTCTGAATTCTATCAGTCAAGTTTGCAATGTGACCACCATACTACATCACAGCACACTCAGAATTCTTGTTATTCCGTGTTTGGAAGCCTTGAACCAAGGCTTCGTGATTGTTGGTACTCAGAAGTTAGAAGGGTGTGTCTGCTATCTTGACGAATCTCCTATTCACTCAGAGATTCGAACTGATGTCACCTAGATCATGACACTATTCAGTGTTCAGTCAAAACGTCGATTTCAGTCCTACTAGAGGTCAATCACGAGTGCAAATAGCTCAGTGGTAACGTCTCTGATTGCAGCACTGGGTGACATGCACATGGTCCGGGGTCTGATCCCCGGCCGATGCATCGCTTTACCTCGCTGAGCCAGAAATAATGCTGGTAAAGAGGAAAGGTTCGGCATGAGGCTAGCAACCCCATCCTGTAAAATAAACACTGCTACAGAAACTTCAAGCCACTAGCTTGAAGCCCTATGTTCCACTGGGAACGTGAAGGAAAAAAGTGACATGAATTAGAATTTCATAGAGGACATGACTTCCTTTAAGACTGGAAGTAGGGCTTGCATCGTTTTAAAAATGCATATAATAGTAGGTTAAGTGACAGTGTGTTTTCAGAATAATATCTAGTGACTCTGTGAAGGATTTACTTAAGAGATCAGAAGTAGAAACACTGTTAGTATCACCTATGAAATGAAGAGACATTCTTCGTTATGATAAAATTATGAAGTATTGTTTGTAGACTGACCAAAGACAACATATAGTCATATACACCTATCCTGCAGTATAACTATTCTCTCTACTCTGAGTGTGCTGCTCACTGGTATATTGCAAATTGGAAAGCAGTCCGTCTTATGTTAACCCCAAATGTATATACCGCTTCACGTGTAACTGCAGGAGCATTTGCATTGGGGGAACATAAAAAAGGTCTACTTCAAATTCCTTGAATATATATACCGAATAACCTTCAATTAAAGCGACTGAATAGTTAAGACTAGTCAATTACCAGACACCTGATAGACACAGGACACTGAGTAGACACACCGAGAGTAATCAAAATAATTTACGGACAAAACAGCCCAAATCCAATTTGGTTTAATGGAGCTGTTGTAATAAAACCGCTAAAACCTGCCCTTTGTGTTCAAAAGGAATACTTTGTAGGACTTAAATTATCCTAATAACTCTGTACTTAGTAATTTTTTTGTCTTCTGACCTCACCACTTCGTTTCCCCCTACCAAGATCTTCGCATGATCT